TTCTTTTCTTTTTTTTTCATTAACAGTTTTTTTCTGCAAGTTTTTGTAGCAAAGAAACTCATGCGTTTATATAATAATTATTTTTCATTACAGAATTGTAAAAATTTTATGTGTTTATTATAATTTGACCAAAAAAGGAAGAACATTAAACATAAAACAAAAAGCAATTGAACTTGTTCCAGTCAATGACGGAAACTTAGCAATACCGACTTTACAAAATCTAAACGCCAAGTGCAACCGCAACTTTCAAGTTCAAATGTTGAAAATACGCATGCGTATTTTCACCCTTGTCGCGTTTTAAAGTTCATGGCCGAACGTAAAAATTAAAGTTTATGCGATGTGTTGAAAAAGGTGAAATAGTTATGAAAACGTCACAAAGTTTTTTTTTTTAGTGGTTTTTAAATTTATATCGTTAAATCGGTTGTTTTTATTTTAAATCTGAATTACTAACTTTATATTATATTTATATACAATAAATTACCGTTTTTGAAAAAAAAGGCAGTTTTAAAACCACAAACAAATATCTTACTAAATTTACTTAATAAAATTTTTGTAAAACATAGCTATATTTGTGTAAACAATGTTTACATAAACAAACTAATTGTTCTTAAAATATTTTTTCTATTTTTATACTGCATAGGCGTATAAGCAAGCTCCTTGTTAGAAAATAGGTATCGATACAAAGATTAATAATACTTTGATAAATGGTTTAAATTTTTATTCAAAAACTAAACTTTCTTCATACAATTTTCTAGGATGTAAAGTAAAAAATAACTTTGAGATCTGTTTATAATCAACAATTTCATTGTAGTGGATATTCATGATGGCTAATGAACCAAGTCTATCTGCAGTCATACTGGTCTCAAATATTTTTTTAATCTTCGCATTGCTGAAAAGCTGCGTCTGATATTGATTTTCATCGCAGATTTTAATGACTTTAGCTAGAGATTAGGCCTATCTTCAGGTTTAATAACAGGCCATTTTCTTTTCCAAAATATGAATTCTTGATCTACAGCTTCTGAGTTTGGAAGATCACTTTTATACATTTCAACTAACTCCTGGAAAGCAGTTATCTCCTTACTGCAAATTATCGAGGGAACCAAGCATAAAAAATTTTGGAATCGTACTTTGATTTCTGAAATGATGGTGTCGAGAAAAGGTATAATCAAGGCCCGTTTATAATATTCATGGGGACTCTCTGCAGGTACGTTTTTTTGTAGGCCTGTCTCTTAGTGATTCTGGGAATTGTTGGTTCTACAAACAATTTACTTGCTATACGAGTAGCTTGTTGGTAAATTGTGTAAGTTTCTTTCTCAACATTTTTCCGTAGATGGTTCAAATTGTCAATTGTTTCTTGAATGTTATGTATTCATACACAATATCAGGTGTGCGCCCTTGTAATCTCTCGGTTATATATGACAACAGGTGAAGTAAACAATACAAAGTTATAATACCAATTATGAATTCAAATATAGTGAGTGCATTAAAGATTAGGTCTCTCTTTTTCCTTGTGCATCCCAATCCATACTAAATTTTATATTGAACTGTTCTTTATTAGAGTATATTTCTAAAATAATCTCTAATGCCTCTGTCATAAATGTATAGCTAAATAAAAGTTTTCATATGCAGCATCTCTTTCAGACCATCTTGTTTTGCACATCCCTATCAAAATATATATTTTTTCAGTTGATTTACCACGTATCTCTGCAACATGCTCCAGTAAGCGTTCTGTTCTCGGAGAGGTATTGAAATAAATCGATATATTTCTGTATACCTCCAAAATGGTATCAATGATTGGTATTTTTGATGTTGCAGCAATTGTTAAATTCAAATTATGCGAGCTACAATGTGTTACAATTGCTTTTGGTGATCCTTTTAAAATATTCCTAGTAGTTCTTTTTTTTCAGATCGCATGTTCGGTGTACCATCGTAACACTGGCCTCTAGAAAGATCAGTTCCACTTTCTCTATAAAGTTTCATCAACCTTTCCCAATATGTTTGCCTGTTATCCTGTCAAGATTCAAAAAGTCAAGAAATACTTCTCTAATTTCTTTTTTTTCCGTTTACGTATCTCATACATACTAATAGAATTTGCTGGTTTGCAGTTGTTACCTCGTCTGCTGAAATTAAATGGTAATTTGCAGCTTTGATTTCATTTATTAGCCGCTCTTGTATACATTTCTTTCCAATTATATCAATTAATTCATTTTGAATCTTTTGGGCCAAGGTAGCTGATATCTTTGTGAAATGGTGTTTGTAAATGTGCATTAAGTTCAGCGTTATGGCGAACTATTTCTTGCACAATTGCAAGAAAGCTTCTAGGATTACATTTTTGGTCTGAGTTTTCCATTTACTTTTCATAAGTTCCACGAAATGCAATTCCTTGTTTCCCCATCAAATGCACAATTCTACCTAATGTTTCAACAATGTACGGGTACATTTATTGTCGGTTTTTTAAAATGCTATCGCTTTGTAATGGAATGGTTTGTCTTGAATCTTCAAAACGACAACAAATGCCATTAGCTCGTTCGATAGCTTCTTTATATTATCTATTGCCTATATGTAGTTTTTGCTTCTCTAAAAATTGAGCCATTCCTTATACCAAAAGTTAACAAAAGTCATTTTTTTTATCCTGCTTTAGAAGTAAAGAGCAGTATATGCAGTAGACTGCATATACTGAAGAATATAAATATGCTGAAGAATATATAAATATTCTTCTTTACAAGCGCGTTTGCAACCACGTTTTAATGTTTTGGAAAATTGAAAAATGTATCTTCTGTTTAAAGTTATTCGTAAAAGTTTTGTATATTTCATTTGGTGAAAGTTCTTGATTTCCGCGCTAGAGTTCATCAATACCATATAGTTTTTCTACTTCTTCAAAATCACATTCTTTTAAATTTGTTTGGTCTACTTTGCATGACAAGCTTTGTTAACATTATTATCATCTTTGATGACTTTCTGTTTTTCTTTTACTTTGGATAATGCATTAAGATAATGTTTTAATAATAAAAAACACTTGAAACGTAAGTAATTAATAATAAACCTTCAGATCTTAAACTATACTAAAATTAAAAAAACTCGCGTAAGTATTACAATAAAAAACAAGTAATAACAAAAGAACTATTATAAACAAATTTAACGTATAAATAATATCTATATCTAGTTAATATCTATATCTAGTTAATATCAAACTAATCAAACTAATTATTATAAAAAGAAGATCAAAATAATTTTTTTACTTAAAATATCCACCTAACGACTTTGCATTTCTTTGCAGCATTTTGAAGCTTTTTTCTATCAGCTGTTCGTTTCCTAATTTGGTTATACCGGTTTTTGCATCCATTTAAATATTGTCATCCATTTAATATTAAAATAAATTTAGAATGTCGAGATTGCGCATGCGTTAAATGTTTTAATTGAAATTACGGTTGCATTAATTGAAAATCACATTGCTTTAATTGATAGTCACGGTGTTTTAAATGAATGTCATGGTTGTTTTAAATGGTTGTCATGATTGTTTTAATTAAAACAATCATGACCACCATTTAAAACATTTTTGAGTGAGACAACAAGAGTGTGAGTGTGACAACAATTTGAGTGAAGAGAGAGTGAGACAACAATTTGAGTGAAACAGCCGTGCAGGGGTGTTTCACTCAAATTTAGTTAAATGGATGTAAAAACCGGTGATGTAATTTTGTATAGTTCTTTATATTTTTTCTGTATGATTTTTTATGTGGATAAAAATTCTTATTGTTTTGGAGTAAAAAATTTATTCGTATCACATTACAATATAAAGAAACGAAGTTTGAAACCTTTTTTTAATATAAATATGATAAATTTATCCCAGGTTCGTAATCAATTACTTATTTATCATTCTGATATCATAGTAAGCGAGGAAGATTTGT